GGTGTTTGTAAAGGCAACTCTGGTTATTTTTTCATAAAACCTTGCAACCAATCAATCCCTGCAATTTTATTCTTGATCCCTGATGAAGGGCAGATCTTATTATTTTTTACAGCAAACTCGTATGCCAGTAATCGTGTTGACTTAGTTGAAAGTCCAAAGTTCATTTTTGATGCAAGTAGTAAATAACTTGACAAATCTTTTTCATCTTCTGCAGTTAAAACTTGTTTATTGTTGTAAGTAGGCTTAAAAGATTTCTTTGGATTGACCTTCTTTTTATTACTATATATTTTTAAAGTCATTCGATTTATGCTAAACTTGCGAGCTACAACACTCACTGTTCTGCCCACTAAAACTTCATTAACAGCTGCTTTCATTGTATCACATGATATAGCAACTCAGTTTTTATTTTATATACTTAATCATTTAAAGATCTGAAAATTTAACAAAAAAGTAAAATAAAATGATTCTTTAAAAAATATATTTTATATAATAATATTATGTAAACTAATTGTAAAACTTATGTAAAACTAAAAACTAATGTTATTAGTATTAGTTTTTAACACTATTACATTTTAAAAATGAAATTTTAAAAATTTATATAAAGATTTTTTATTCGTCAAAAGTTTAAATGTATGAAATTTAAACAAAAAATTTAAGTCTTATGATATAAGTTATATGGGGCACTTTGATTCTCCGATCAATGAGCCCCGCATAGTCAACGATCAATGTGCCCCATTAAGTACAGTTGATATATTGGTGCTAACAACTTCTATAAATACAGTAACTAACTCAAAAAAACAAATTTATTATAAACTTAACACATATGAGTTTACAATAAATTGGTTGTATAGTCATACGGAAATCTAATTAAAAATTTATTTGAATTTGCTTGATTTCAAAAATCACTTTTCATGATGAAAACTGTTTTTTTTAATTTTCTTAACGCTGAAGTTGATCTCATCAAAAATTATTACAATTAAGCAATGAAGGGTAGTGTAATGGTTAATTAAATTGCAATATCTTTTAAATTAAGGCAAAAGTAAACGAGTAAAAGCTAAAAGATCATACTGCCCCAAAAGATCATTTTTCAATGAATCCAAATGATGTTAAAAGATATATCTTGTATAATAAAATGGAATATCTGCTGTTTTTGAGAGTAAAAATATACAGTGAAAACACTTTAACGCATTTGACTTAATCGATTAAATTTTACAGTAGCATCCAAAGACAAATTTATCAACATGATTCTTGGATTACCTATGAGTACCTTTTTTTGCTATCTTGAATTTGGAGGCATTGTAAATTTTAAATAAATAATATTAAAAATATTTATTATGAAATATAGGGTTACTTTATAAAATGTTCATTTTTCTATTGTGATAAGCGTATGAGATAAGAGTTCAAAAGACTTTTGGACCACAAACAGATTAATTCAAAAAGTACAAACAGATTAATTCAGAAAGTACAAACAGATTAATTCAGAAAGTGCAAACAGATTAATTCAGTAATTTAATAGCAAACCTCGTATACAGGTGTAGTATTACAAAAATGTTGTTGATCTATGTCTGTTACCTAATGATAAAAAAACGCTTTTTCTACATGGGTTTCAATGTGGGTTCGGTGTAGGACTCATGGAATCTAACCTGAAAAAAATATTCCGCTTCTATAACACATAACATACATTTTACACTGTGTTTCATAAATAAAGACTCATCAGAAATGAATGATCAAATAAATAAAACTTCAATTTATACCAAAAAATTAAAAAACAGGAAGTCGCAAATATTTTAACTACTGTAAATTTTCGCACATTTGTGAAATTTGCTGACGCTATTATAAAAAGAATTCTTTAGAAATGATTACTTATAGTAATATTAACATATATTGTCATAATATTAATTATATCGTAAAATTTACAGTAGTTAAAGTATTTATAAATTAATTATATATATATATAATTAATTAATTAATTAAGGGATAAGGCAAAGTAAGTAACTTACATACATACTTTCATTTTAATTATAAGAGGCTTAGCAAAAGTAAATCGATCGAATAATAAAGCGGGTAGTTTTCTGTTGACCATAAGTTTTTATTAGTTCTATCCAACGCAATATTCGCATTGTTGATGTGACAAAAAATGAGTGAGCAAAAAAGTTTAGCTAAAGTGTGTTTATTTAGAAAATTCCTTGCTTTATTTAAAATTCCTATGCTTTTTGATATTTTATTCCTCAAAATTTTAATGTGGTATTTCCAATTTAAAATTTTATTAGTATAGACCCAGAACGTCAGTAGCTAACACTTGTTTTAAAATAATTTTATCAATAAAAAAGATGGCATATAATATGGTATAAGGCATATTTTGTGATTTGGATGAAAAAAAAATTTTTTATTTTATTAATATTGTAAGACAGTTGATTTGTTTTACTAACAAATCAGAAACTCTTTCTGGTTCATTATTCATAATTTGAAATAGTAATGTAATATCATTGTGAGATAAAAATACGTTTATGTCATCTGCAAACATGCTTTATGGATGTGGTTAATGTAAATAAGAAAGAGAGGTAAATCTAATATTGATCTCTAAGGAACTCCACAGATTATACCACAGATTATAGTTTACTGGTGATACTATACCAACATATTCAAATTGCTTTCAATTATTTATATAATTTTTAGACCAATTTTAAGCACTATTGTCTATTATGAAATTATTTAAAAGAATTTTGAGGTCTATTTTATCGAAAGCTTTAGCTAAGGCAATAAAATCCTAAACTGTATATTATGAACTTTTTTGAAAGATTTAATAATACCTCGCATAAACCGGAAAATTGATTGTTATTTATTAAATTGTTAAGATAAAAGATTATAAATTCTGATTTAAAATTTCAAAATTTTTAAAAAACGCGGGTAGAATAAATTAAGGACGATAGTTGTTATCATTAGTTAGATCTATTTTTTTAATCTAGGATTCACCAGTGCTATTTTTAGTTGGTTAGAAAATATTTCTTGCCTAAAAAAACAAGAAAAATTCTCTAAAAGTAAGATACCCGACAGAAATAAAATATTTGTTCAGCTTATTCACTAGCTCTTCTTAATTAGGCATGAACTTATCATTATTGGTTTTATAGAATGCGAGTGTTTTTTGTTTGAAGCTGCCTATGATTTGCTTTGTAGCTTTGTAAGCGCGCTTAGAATTTAATTTATTTTTTCAAGTATATCATTGTAATAATTTTTTTAAAGATCTTTCCTATGAAGTTCAAATAGTTTAGCATAACTTTATTAAATAGCTAAGGTTGTATCTGTTTTTAATTTTAGGAATTTAATATACGATTTTTGTTTAATTGTAGAGGGTTTTCCTCAACATTTAGTGTATGGATATTTTATATTTCTTAATTTACAAATTATTTTAATTTTTGGAAAACTAACATCTTAAGTATCAAAAAAAGTTAAAAAAAAGTGTTGTAAATCAGCAGGTTCGGATATGTACTGAGGGACCCAGAGGGAGACATAGATGAGACCCTTATGATAGCAAAAAATGTAGCAAAAATATGTTAAACCCTTAATCAGATTGTTTTTGGTTATAAGGGTATAGAAAATTTCTATTCTAAAATGTGCATGCAAACTTCCATCATGCATTCTGTCCATCAATTTATTTGACTCGTTTAAAAAAATAAATCTATCTGCAAAGTTTTAAAAGTATAGTAATTCTAAATTACAGCGTCGCACCACTTTATTTTTTGCACATTATTGCAATGTAACCAATTACGATTTGTTTTTTATTTAATAATCAAAGATTTTAATTTAATGTTTAAAAAAATTTAATGTTATATTTTATTATAATATAAATTTTTTTGGACTTTATATATAAATTTTTCTAAGAAAATTTTGTTATTGGAAAGTGAGAAACTTTTAGATTACCCGTATTATTTTTTAGATTAACCGTATTTAAAGCTGAACTCCGTATTTAAAGCTGAACTCGAATCGTATTTCACTGTTTATTTTTAAAAAAACAAAAAATTGAAATATGTTTACTAAGAAATAATTGTATTTTAAATAATAAATTCTCAAGCCCTATTAAATATTTCTGAGCCTCTCTGGTTGGGAGGTACTGGTTTCTTATAATCCAGTGCTTTATTAGTTAGTTATTATTATAAGTCATTATATAATTTTAAATTCAGTTATTATTATAATTATTAATACGTTCTTAATAAAACGATCATCGTATGGGTCCTGTATTTAATTTTGCACCAGCACATTTTTATCTTCTCCAGGACAGTTGGCTTATATAAAATACATACGCAAGACTCAATAAAAAACATGAAATTTAATGGTTTTTTTAAATATATTTATTTTTTAATCTTTTATTCAAGAAAATTTACTCTACCACTAATAAATAATAATGGCTGGTTTACGATGTCTTTGTATAATTTATCAAACATTTCATATTTTAATCGTAGAAATAACCATTTTTATTGTTATTATCTTTTGCTAAAATTTATGCATATTAAGAATAATTAATTGTTATTATTTGTATTTTTGTGTGTTTTTTGTGTTGTGCATTTTTATTTATAGTGAGGTCCAGGACCTTTAGACATGAGGGGCTCGGGGAATCCCCTAATCTCTCTGGCCAGTATGAATCTGTAAGCCAGGTTGGTATTATTTAAAATGTTAATGTATGCAAAACGTACTTTTTATGAAAAATTTTTTCATAAAAAGTACGTTTAAGAAAAACCTGATCTATATTATGTGATTTTCAAGTTAATAAGCGTGATCAGTTGAATCCTTTTTTTTTATTGTTGTTATTATAAAATTGTTTGTTGCGCCACTAGACAGTCACACACTAACACCTTTTAAATTTTAAAAACTGCTTTAAATTTTTTTTTACTATAAACGAAAATCATATACTGCAAAAGTAAAAGGCGCCGATTTCTAACTTTTATTAAACTTATGTTATTACAGATGATGTATGTATTTATTATTTGCGTTTTTTAAAATAGTATTTTAGCAGAAGATAGCACAGCTGGTGCTGTAACTCATACCGAAACATCAAGCAAAAAATACTATAAAAAACACAGCTGGGTTTGTCATAAAAAACAATTGGCAAAATTCATTATAAAAAGATAGTTAAAACAACTATTCAAACAAGTTCATTTTCAAGGTGTAAAGATGAAGTTATTTTGCTTGGTTGTTCTTTTTGTGGTTGTTGAAGGTGCAGTCAAGTTTGAAAACTGCCATAGTAAGTTAGTCCAATCAGAATTTAGCTTTAAAAGTTTTAAAATCATAAAACAATTGATTTTTTTTAATAAGTAATGCGACCATAAAGTAATTAAAATTTTAATATTCCAGATAATCCTCATGTTCATTTGAAAGTTGATCATTTTCCCGACGTTCTTCACATCAAAAAAGGTCACAATTTTAAAGCAAAATTTGGTGTGACTTTTAGCAAAGAACTTGCCCAGCCATTACACGCTAAAATTACATTAGAAAAGAAAGTTGCATTTATATGGGTAACGATTCCTTGCATTAACAAACTCGGATCTTGGTAAAATAACTTTTTTTTTTTTATAAACATAAGATACTCCTTCTGTTTTAAAGAATCTTTGATTGAAAATAAACTTTACGTTATAAACGTTAATTTACGTTATAAACGTTGATTTACGTTATAAACGTTGATTTATGTTATAAACGTTGATTTACGTTATAAACGTTGATTTACGTTATAAACGTTGATTTATGTTATAAACGTTGATTTACGTTATAAACGTTGATTTATATTATAAACGTTGATTTATGTTATAAACGTTGATTTACGTTATAAACGTTGATTTATGTTAAAAACGTTGATTTACGTTAAAAACGTTAATTTACGTTATAAACGTTGATTTACGATATAAACGTTGATTTACGTTATAAACGTTGATTTACGTTATAAACGTTGATTTACGTTATAAACGTTGATTTATATTATAAACGTTGATTTACGTTATAAACGTTGATTTATGTTATAAACGTTGATTTACGTTATAAACGTTGATTTACGTTATAAACGTTGATTTACGTTATAAACGTTGATTTATGTTATAAACGTTGATTTACGTTATAAACGTTGATTTACGTTATAAACGTTGATTTATGTTAAAAAAGCTTTTATTAAACTACGAGCATATATTAATTTTTAATAATTATTGTTATTATTTTAATTTAGGAACAAGCTTTTATGATTTTTGTCTTATGTTTTTAAATAACAAAATTTTATTCGATAGTTACTTATTAATTTTTTTAGTTTCTTACAAAGTTATTTACAATTTCCTAATTTAGCGAATACGAATTAACTTGCGACGAGCTTAAGAGATTAGCTGGTGTAGACAAGCTACCTTACCCATGCCCAGCACCAATTGGAACAATTTCTAATGAAGTAAATGTTTTAATTCCTGAGGTTCCGTCTATTGTTCAGAAAATTGGAACGGTAAAATATATTTTTTTTTATTTCATTATTTATACTATTTTATTTTTTTAAAATAAATGAGTTTTTATTGCATCTAAAAAAATATAAATTTGTTTTTGTATTAAGGGTTCTTATAACTTCAAAGTTGAATTGAGCGATCATAAGAGAAACAGGATTGCATGCGTTCAAGTTAAAGGTCTTCCGGTTAATTTTTAAAGACGAACACTGAATACAAGTTTTCCAGTTCAAAACTAAAGTACAATAATGTGTATAAATTCAAAAAAACTGAGAGGTTTCAAAATTCAATAAATACAAAAAAAAAATTTTTTTTATATCTTGGTTTTTTCTTTTCTTAATTTTGGTTAAAAAGTTGCTCCTTAAAAAAGTTTTACGCACACCTACTTCATTTTATGAATTTGAATGGGGAGTAAGAATTTTTTTAAAACAGTAAAAATTTAATATTTAACTTAAATATTAAATTTTTACTGTTTTAATAAAATTCTTACTCCCATCTATCATCTCTTTTAATAAAATTCTTACCCCCATCTATCATCTCTTTTAATAAAATTCTTACCCCCATCTCTTAAATTTTAAGAGAGATTAAAACCTGGAAGATGAAATCTCATACTTCACCAAACATTTTTCTAAGTACTGGTATTAAAGTAAAATGTATTAAAAATAAAAATGTCTTCATTAATCCGGATATTACTCTCGCCGAAAAGCAAATCGATTCTCAACATAAAAAAGAAAGAAATAAAAAAAACCAACTACCCCTAGAAAGTGAACTAATCTCACCCTATAGATGGTACAAATCATCAAACTCAATTTTAGTAAACAAAAAATATAAAAAAAACAATAAAAATCGGATTAATTTTCGAACCATTAATAGGTTAGGGGAGACCGGGGCTAGTTGACTCGGTTTTTACTCTATGAGCTCTGTAGTCCTAACGGATTGTTTTGAAAATATAAAAGTGTAGCTTTGAAGAGTATGAATTTGGGTAACTTATAAAAGTTGCATTCATTTACAAAAAAAATATTTTGGGGCCTTTTTAAGCCCTCAAAAAAAAAAAAAAATTGCGCTAACTTACCCCACCCTGGGGTAAGTTGCTTATACTCAAGGGGTAAGTTGACTCGCAATAATAAAAGCTAAAGTTAAAGGTCCTATTTAAGTGTATTCCAATAATATTTTAACCCCCCGCCCTCTTTTTTTAAAGGAATCATAGCTGAAAGATACTTTTATCAATATCATCAAACTTTTGGCTCAAGTCATGTAACATTTTAAGCAATAGAAAGTAAATATAATTAAAAAATACAGTGACAAAACAAAACAGTGTTCCCAATTTATGGTTATACAATAAGAATTAAAGCTTTGTTGTTTTTTTACATGAATATTTTTAACTAATGGAGTTTCAAATCGGCTAGCAGCAATTATTGCAAATGAAAAACAAAGATTTTCCGATTATACATGACTCGTGAGCCCAAAGGTGACATTGGGTGCATTGAACCCAAACTTCCTCTGGTTTACTTTTATAAAACATTCCAACACAAACCAAACAAAAATACTCCTCTTCAACAGAGCCATTTGGACAATTCAAACTTTTCTCCATTAAGTGTAAACTTCTTTTACTATTTGATCTTTTACTCATCTTAATATTATCTTCATTTAACTTTTTTGCTTGTTTTCTCTCTTCAATTGCTAACTTTTTCTTTTTAGCTGATTCTTTCTCTATTTTTAAAAGATTCATATTTGGTGAATTTGTTAAAATTGATGTGGTTCTACTTCTTTTATTAGCTCTAACTCTTTTCTTGGTTCCGCTTTTTTGAATGGTCTTAAATCTTCAGACGATAGAACTACAGTTGACTCTGTAGATGCACTGTGTACATCATTACTGCTTGAATATGAAATATCTTGACGTGGTTCTATATCTTTTGAGCAACCAGCATTTAACATGTCATTCTCAGATTTTGTAAAGTCAACATTCGTTAAATTACTTATATTTAGCGCTGTACTTTTCACTGCACAGTCTTGTTTCGGAGGTGGTCTATCTGTGGTATAGGCTGGCATAAAATCGTGTTCACCAAAAGTGTTAACATTTAGTGGGTAAATTCTAGTTTTCGCAAAACCAGCTTTGATATTATTAGGGGTACATGCTAATGGAAATGAATTACCCACAATACCTGGTATATAGAATTACCCACAATACCTGGTATATATAGTATATATGCCCACAATACCTGGTATATATACCCACAATACCTGGTATACCTGTAAATAGACATTGTGGAACCAGGGTGCATTGTCATCCACGCATTGCAAGCTGTGTTTGTGTATTTTTTAAAAGATCCAAATACACTTCGATCTAGAGGTTGAAGTTTATGGCTGCAATGAGGAGGAAATGAACAAACTGATACCCCATTTTCTTTAAAGTAATCTAAAGCATACTGAAAGATAAGAGTCATGATTGTCTACTAGCAACAAAACAGGTCGTTCTTTTGTACTTCTGGCATATTTGATGAAATGATGGGAAAAATGCAAAAATTGAACTTCAGTCATCCAACCAGATGGGTTGCAGCACCTGCACTTCCATCAGGAGCACCATTTAAAAAATAGTTTTTAAATTTCACACGAGGAAATATGAAAAATGGAGGAATTGAATTTCTACTGACAGAAACAGCAACTGCCACAGTTACTAAATAGCCTCCCTCAGCCGAAGTAACACGCCCAATTTATTTAAAACCCTTTCTTGCTACAATATGATCTGGAGTTTGAACCATATTCCAAATATCTCCACTTTCCAACTTTAAACGATTAAGAATAGTTTGTAAATTGTTGTAAAACTTTTGAACATTTGTTGGATTAAACTGGAAACACATGCTTGACTTGTTGCCTCAAGTTTTCTTATTGACAGTTTTTTGTGCCTTTTGAGGTAAGCACTTAACTAGTCTTCTCCAGCTGCTTCACTTGCACTCCAATTATGAGGCATTTTTATGCTATTCGCTTTTCCATACTGATAAGCTAGTTTCCTCACTTCCTTAGAAGAAAGCTCATAATAAATATCAGAAGCTTTAGTCACATATTGTTCCAATAGACCTACTTGTAAATCAGAAAAGACCTAAATGAACAATATCAATATTAAAATAAATAACACTATATATATGCACACACGTGTGTGCATATATATATATATATATATATATATATATATATATATATATATATATATATATATATATATATATATATATATATATATATATATATATATATATACATATATATATATATATATATATATATATATCTATATATATATTTATATGTATATATATATATATATATATATATATATATATATATATATATATATATATATATATATACATATATGCGTGTGTGTGTGTGTTAAAGAACATAGCAGTTATATTTTATAACTGTGTGTGTGTGTAAACACACACACATTAGTATTAGCATGTGTGTGTGTATATAACACATACTATTTTATTATATATTAGTATGTGTTATACACACACACACATTGTATTAGTATGTGTTATAACACATACTAGTACACAGTTATAAAATATAACTTATATGTTTTTTAAGATCATTGAGCACTCTTTTTGTAAATAATAACACTAAAATATTTTTTATATACAATATATATATATATATATATATATATATATATATATATATATATAGGGGAAAGCGGGGCAACATGGCGAACGTTTTGAAAGCCCTGAGTTATTGCAAAACTATCTGCCGTGAAGCAATAACACTTTCTCAGTATGTTTATGTTGTTAAAATCCTTCATTGCCTGCATGAATTTTCAGTTTGCAAATATAACAATTTGAAATATATATTAAAATAAAAAGTTCATAAATTTGTCATCTGGTCACGTGACCGGGGCAAGATGACTTATTATGCAATTTTTACCTCCAATTTTATAAAATTTTAAAAAAATCCAATAACTCTAACTAAAGTCACACAAAATAAACACAAATCACAAAAAACTACTTCTAAAGAAGTTATACTTGAAGGGCACCATCCATTATGAGAAACCGAAAGTGAGGAATTTTTTTTTAAGCGCAAAAAGTAAACTTATGCGTATAAAGTTGCGTTGATAATATTTCAAAAAACCAATTGGTATTTTAAAATACAAGATGAAAATACAGTTTCATTTTCAACCAATTTTAAGATTTTTTGTTGAGTTGTTATATGAAAACCCATCTTGCCCCATTCGCCATTTTGCCCCGTTTTCCCCTATATATATATATATATATATATATATATATATATATATATTGTATATATAAAAAAAAAAAGGTCCTCGTTTTCGAAAATTTGCCGACTGCTATGACGACATTTGCCAAAGATGAAATGGTCAACTAAGAAGGTTTCCTGAATTTATTGGCACTTTCTGATGAAAGACTTTGCAGATAAACGCAATTTGTCAACCTCTGCTGCCAACTAGCCCCGGTCTTCCCTACTGAAATTAAATCCGTAATTGTTTTTTACACAAACATTGACTCCGTATTAAATAAATGCCATGAGCTAAAACAAAATGTAAACAACCTGTAAACCGAAATTATATTCTTAACAGATATTCTGTCTAAAAATAAAAAAAATTGTTAATGATCTTGAGTTTGCTATTGAAAGTTCCTTACTACATACAAACCACAGCAATAATTCTTGCCGAACAGGTAATATTTATACATAGCAAACTAAAGTCATTTCTAATAAACCAAGATATTTTTCCACCTGAATTGCTCAACTGTGAAATTACAACGAAAACTTCTAAGTTATTGTTAAGTTTATGTTACAGATCACCAATAGTAACGATGAAAACACTAACTGCATAAATCAACACATAGCCAAATTCTTAAACAAATATCCAAATACTCTTATAATTGGAGATTTTAACTACCCAGTTATCAGTTGGTAAAATACAAAATATTCTATTTCAAATGCTTTTAAACCAATTAAATTTACTGAAAATATTCGTGATTATTTTTTAACCCAACATTTATCAGAAGCAATGCACATCAGACAAAATCAAAATCCACCTACAATTGATTTTTCAATAATTTTTCAACTAATATCAATAATAGTATACCAAAATTTGACTTTAAAAAAATAAAACATTCAATGAAATAATCAATGAAATTAAACTTAAACGAGCGAAATATCGTCAATATAAATTGAACAGAAATGAAAAAACATATAATGAGTACCGCATTTCACAAATAAAAAACAAAAGCAGCGTGCAGAAAAGCAATTATTGAATTTTAAAAAATTGCTAGAAACATAAACCAAAATCCAAAAACATTT